CACACACACACACACACACACACACATACACACACACACACACACACACACACACACACACACACACACACACACACGCATACACACACACACACACACACACACACACACACACACACACACACACACACACACACACACACACACGCATACACACACACACGCATACACATACACATACCACTTTTAAAAGTAGATAGCATAGCGTGAGCTGAGCATAAGGAGAACATGAGGACAGCATGAGTACCATGTGATCATGCAGGCACACATACCGTGTTTCACTGATGGCATTGTCAATGAGCTGACATAACACTCGCACAGCCTCCTTGTCACGGCCGGCTTGACGGAAGGCTGTAAAGGGGGGACACGAGAGACAAAAAGCAGGCTTAACATTGGCAGAAAGCTCGTTGTTGTGTCAAGGCCTCAAAAGGCAATCCGTCCAAATGCTATGCTGGCCTACCCATCTACAGTCGACTCCACTTATAACGAACTCGTCTATAGCGACTTTCGTTATATAGTTAACCAGTGTCTATGTCCCTGTTTGAACTTTGAACCCATACAAAATTAACCCTTTATAGGGAACAGTTTTCGTTTATAATCATCCAAATCTTTTAGAGCCACATGTTAAAACATGTAAGCCAATCCCACTCCAGCCATGACTTGCTGCTTGTATAGTGCATGTGAGTGCATTTCTGTTAGAACAAACTTCAGCTATAAAGAACTAATTCTCCTGCACAATGGTGTTCGTTATATCAGGAGTCGACTGTATAATTTTATGTACTTTTATCAACACTGGTGCTACTCTAGACCATGGCCCCGGTACATGTACAATGACATCATACATTACTATACATGCTGTCATTGCACATTTTCAATGACATCATCTACTATCAACCAGGGAGCACCTTTATAATGGCGCTTCCTGTAGCGTAGTTTTCCCAATGGACATTGAGAACCACAACGGGTAGGTATTGAACCGTTGAGCTTCTAGAAATCCATTAGGGCAGCACTGACAAAAGAGGTTATGCAAGCCAAGTCATCGCATATGCAATGTATTGAGTGTATGGAAAGGCAAATAGTGTTGATGAGATTTTGAAAGTTTGCTTGAATTGGCAAGCGATGCAAATTATGCAACCATGAAGTGGCGAACAAACAATTTCCTACTGCTGTGCCACTCTATACAAAGATGTCTAATGATGCACTCACAGAACCACAATAAGGGCAATGAGGTAGGTTAGAAAAGACACTGGGGAAACGACGGTGGAGAGAGACGACTGCCAACATGATGGTAACCAAGAAAGAGAATGAGCGACTGGGCACAAGAAACCAAGCGTGTGCACCAGGACTAGTTGCCATGGCAATCTTAGGAACATAACAGAACAATGAAGTAATCAATCAATATTTACCTCGCTGTGCCTCCTCAAAGCGATTGTGCTCCGCCAACCAGTTGGCATACGGTAAGTAGATTTTCTCCTAAAGAAGGGGAAGAAATATACTGATCAGGTGGATGAACAGGCAAGCTCGTGCATGCCAGCCAGGCGTACCACGATTGCCACCAATAAGTACAGTGGAGATCGGATACAATGACCTTGCATAGAACGACAGATTGAGTTTAACGACACAATTCTGTTGCCCAAGTCGTTTAGTATGTCCTTTGTGAAGATCGGGTTTAGTGACAGATCGAATTGAGTGACATTTTGTTCTCTCCCGAAGGAGTGTCGTCATACCCAATCTCCACTGTGGCAGAGTATTAAGTCATACTCATGCATGTTTCACAGGCGCCCCGGGATGTTGTAGACAGGTGATTGCTAGCTGCTACCAAGCTAACTCGACTGTGGACGGTTTACGTATTGGTATTGATGTCCCGTATCACATTGGAGTATACAGAGGGAATACGATGGTCAGCTTTGATTAATTGTTGTGAGCGAGAGAGAGAGAGAGAGAGAGAGAGAGACAGGGAGGGGAGAGAGAGGGAGGGGGAGATAAAGTGAGAGAGATAGAGACAGACATACAGACATACATACAGACAGACAGACAGACAGACAGACAGACAGACAGACAGACAGACAGACAGATATAGAGACAGACAAACAGAGCAAGTCAGGGCTGCTATTCCGAAGTGTGAACGAGGTGCTCAGTGTTGTGTTGTTATGCGTCAATGACCTCTGTTCCTACCTTCATCTCTGGGTGATCTTCGCAGATTTCCAAGACAGTATCCCAGTGCTGTACTGCAATATAGGTCTTAACCTGTGCCTCAACGTCGTCCAGCTTGCGATACACCTCGATTGCACTCTCCCAGGCCTGAAACAATACATTGGTAACAGCATTGGCATGCAGGGAGACCTACAGTTATGTCAACATCATAAGTGCACAAGAAGATATTCTGGTGCTGTAAAAACCACTCTGCAATGCATCACTTCTTTTATAACAGAACACAATGATGAAACATTTAAAACCTTGTTCCTAGCATTCTTCCCGGAATGGATGTCCCATAGTGCGCTGTGCTACACCACACCAAAGGAGGCAATCATGGCTACTCATCCGGCAAATCAAAATATAGAAATCAAACAGTCGACAAACATACCTCCAAGTCATCTATGATAGTTTCCAGTCACGTTTGACAATCACCTCTCATCATGGAATTAACCCAGAATTTCACGGGTTTTTAAATGACCCACCTGATCTTCAGCTTCCATGAACACCTTCGCAGCGAGACGCAGCTCATCAGCCTTCTCTGCCGGTAGCTGTCTCACCAGCTGTACCAACCTGCAGTGCAAGACATAGGCAAGATCATGATGTTCACATGAAATTAGGGCTGAAAGGAATATTCGAATTATTCGAATATTCGAAATATGCAGATCGGAAAAAGAATATTCTTCGTTAGAGTAGAATAAGAATGTTCGCAAATGTACAGAAACTCGCCTTTTTGATATCGAACAGGTTTATTTGGTGCAGAAATTGGTTAAGATTGCCACCTTCTATGTGTTGCCAACAGCAAGACAGAATGATCACATTGTCCTTTTCAAATGTCTCTCCTGTAATTGGGGTACACACCAGTTGATGGTATATGGTTACCATGGATATAACTAGGTATCCATGGATATTGTATGGTTTAGAATATTCGGAATATTCTTCGTTTCACATGTATTCGGAAAGAGAATATTCGTTCGCTTCATTGAGCATTCGTTTCAGCCCTACATGAAATACAGTCAGATCTCGCTTATCCGGTCCTCTTTTATCCGGATCCCTCACCATACGAAAGAAAATCGTTGGTTACCGATTTACAGCATATGCCATGCATACATACAGCGTGTGTGGTCGATTATCCGGTTCCCCCGCCCATCCGGATATTTTTGTGGAAAAAAGGATGTGTGCGGTTATGCGAGGTCTGACTGTACAGCAAACTTACACTGGGCTCACTGCTTAGTGCTCACTCATAATTATTGTTAACACACTTTCCACCTCAGCTCTGCCTACAAGGGCTGAACTTTTCTGGCTTGCTGGCTAATTCACTAGAATGCAGTGTGTATGATACATGGCTGGTGTGACAGTGTAGTGTGCGGGGTAAAGAATAGAACTGGAGTGTATAGGAGAGTACATGTACCATAATTGTAAGTCGACCCCGGGTATAAGTCGACCTCCAAACTTGGGGCCTCGATTTACCAGTTTAAGGGCAGTTATACCCCGCTTGTATGTCGACTACCCCCTTTTTAGGTCGGTCTCTAGGTCGTTACTGTAAGTCAACAAATATTCGGCGCATATTTATTTTCGGCTATTTTCGGCCTGGTCATGTTTGGCCGAAAATTTCTTGCAGCCGAAATTTAGTTTCCCACTGTTCAGTGTGACACTGTACTAGTATACAGGTGGCAGCAGTACAGGCCAAAAATTTGATGCGGCCGAAATGGGTTTTAGCGCTGGGAGGCCGAAATTTGAATGGGTCAAAAATTTGTAGATTTACAGTAAAGGGTATAAGGCCACCTAGAGTTAATTCGTTGTTTCGGGTCACTTCACTCATCCGTACCAGGGGCGGTCGGTCGGGTTTATTTTTTACTTTATTTTATTTTTATTTTGGTTACGGCCATGTGCATACAATACAATTTTGCATATCGAATAGCTTTTGTCCATGAAGCCAGTCGATCAAATCTGACTGTTGACGATCCAGCGCAGTCATTGTCCCATCAGATCCAGGTCCCCTCCAGAACCAGATCTTGGCCTCGCTGGCAAACGAGTCTGACGAGCAACTCTCACCTTGAAAACTTCTGTCAATGAGCAACAAGGTGGCGGACCTGATGCTGTTTCAGGACCCATTGCGGATCGGAGATAGAAGACAATGTCGTCACCAAACGCTGCATCCTGTCATTTAGCTGCTTCTGAGGTCGATGTCTGGCCTGCTATTATTAGGGTCGCGTGTGTACATAGTCTAGTCATGTACATATGCATCCACTAAAAAAAAACATTTTGCGGGCGGGTGAAAAAAGACGGTCGGTCGGGTGACCCGTAACAACAAATTAATTCTGGGTGGCCTAACCACTAAAAATACGATATGGAGTGTATAGGATAGAACTGTAGTGTATAGGATAGAACTGCATAGAACTGCAGAACTGCAGTGCACAATGTACTCACTGGTCAATCCAGTTCTGCCGGGCCATGATGTTGATAGCGTTCTTGTACTCACCTACAGCAACGTACATATCACTGCGTGGAGACAGCACACAGTATGAAGCAGGAGAAGAAAATGACTCCGGTTAAGTTAGGCATACACATGTGTATGAAAATTGTAATGAAAAAAAACCTTTGCATGCAAAAGTATATTCCCACCAACTTTTCTTTTTTGACCCAATGGCTTAATTTTCACAGACGGGCAAACAGTTGCGATTTCGTAACTCTGAGCTTCCCGAAATGAATCGATCAGTTTTCGTCTGTTGTCGATTCATTTCGTGAAATTTGGACAGGCCTAGTACACAAGATGAAGGGTACTGCTGGGATTTGTAAGTATGCCAGAGCATTCCGCTGGAAAGCAGTGCGGACTCGTTTGATCAAGTCCACTATACACCATGCAGAATAGTATGAAGTAGTTGTCAGAAACGGGGAAAGAGCGTGAGAAAATCTGGACTGCGGACAAAGTCACTCTGTTCCATCGGAGCCGTACAGAGGGATACAACCTCGTCAACATACCAAGCTGCTCTTGGATCGTCAATAGTCTTAAACCACTCAGCCTCCTGACGTTGCACGCGATTCAGCACACTCTTCTTGCCGTTCCTCTTCACAACGTCCTAGAACGCATACGACAGCACGTACACATACATGCCCCCCCCCCACCACACACACACACACACACATACACACGTACGCATACACACACACACACACACACACACACACACACACACACACACACACACACACACACATATTATATGACCCTGTAGATTCTCACACATTTGCCGGTGTCCCAAGGAAGATTCTAACAGCATAGTTGAATGTTATCATGAATTCAAAATCAAGCTTCATCCCACTAGTTCTCCAATAAACCCTGTATATGTACTATCCATATTTTCATTACAGTCTGGAATGTCTAGGTGTCTGTTCCCACAGCCTTACCTTTGCCTTGTCAAACATTCTCAGATCAGTATACATCTCCACCGCCTGTTGCACAAGAAAGAATAGACTGCACTCAACGCAATGCAAGAAAAAGGGACCAACGTTTTACTAGTGTGATCAAACGTATTACCGAAGCGGACATTAGTAGTACTAATGTCCGCTTCGTGACATAGTACATTGATGTAACAAAATAATAGTAGTACATGTATGATGAAGAACAAAGAAATTTCCTACTTGATATTTCCAATCCTGATGATGGCCCAGGCCCAAAACTTGATGGAGAATATATAAATTTTATTTTTTAATTGCAGTTCAGAGACCGTATACCGTACTTCCGCAAATAAAAGGCCGTCCTCGTTTACAACGCCTTCCTTGTATTTACGGCCGGGGCAGGGGGCGATTGAAAAAATAAAAGACCGTCTCCGATTAGAAGACCGGGCCTACTAAACGAGTCTTTGTTCTTGTGTCAAAAAAAAATGCTGCACAACTTTGTTGTTTGCACTCAAATTGTATGTGCAGAGTACCTCACGAAAGTCGGGGTGGGGAGGGGCGGGGGGGGGGGGTGCATTCAAAGCACCCCTCCGCACTACCACCGGATTCTGCCTATCAGCTACTAAAGAGCGTCTGAAGGAGTGGCAAGCTATAGTGTCCTAGTACAGGCATCAGTATCAAGCGTTGTTTGAGTGCATGCACTGTATGCAAGATTGGTCGATTGAGAGCTAAATGTGGTGGCGGAAGTACATGTACATGACTGGATTAAGTGTTGTTAGAAAGCTCTACAATCACACCTCAGAACCAACACAGTGCAGCTCAGGATTCAAACCGGACCTACCTTGTCCACTTCCCCGGCCATTTCATACTGATGGGATGCTTCAGCAAACCGGCCCTGTACAGCAAAAGTAAACACACACACACACACAATAGAACAATGGGCTGTGGTGAGGGAGAGAGAGAGAGAGAGACAGAGAGAGAGAGAGAGAGAGAGAGAGAGAGAGAGAGAGAGAGAGAGAGAGAGAGAGAGAGAGAGAGAGAGAGAGAGAGAGAGAGAGAGAGAGATTGATGGGTGGATGGATGGACGGACGGACGGACGGACGGAGGGACGGACGGACGGACGGACGGACGGACGGACGGACGGACGGACGGAGGGACGGACGGACGGACGGACGGACGGAGGGACGGACGGACGGACGGACGGACGGAATGGAGACAGATGCAAACACCATCACTGGTAGGTAGAGCTGTCCATATACTGTGTGCTCACAAAAGAACACTGCACCGGGCGCTTTGTACATACCTGGTAGGCGTAAATGTCACCAAGGAATACATCATTGTTATTCTCTCCGCGTTTCTGTCTCTCCTGTTCAGCATGCAAGCACACACACACACACACACACACACACACACACACACACACACGTGCACATACACGTACACACACACGTGCACACACACACACACACACACACACACACACACACACACAATGCACAAAATAGAACTCAGCTGCAGCAAGAGTGATATGTGAGAATCATCAGCATTGTAAGCATAAACAACTGGATTAAAGTGTGGGGTTATAATATGCCCTGGTTCTTTGTAGTGAGCTGAATCAAGAATACTGTTGTCCATTGCCATTACACGTGTCTGCATGTGTCTGTGTGCATGTGTGTGTGTGTGTGTGTGTGTGTGTGTGTGTGTGTGTGTGTGTGTGTGTGTGTGTGTGTGTGTGTGTGTGTATGTGTGTGTGTGTGTGTGTGTGTGTGCGTGTGAGTGTATGTGTGTATGGTACATGGTGTGCGTGTGTGTGTGTGTGTGTGTGTGTGTGTGTGTGTGTGTGTGTGTGTGTGTGTGTGTGTGTGTGTGTGTGTGTGTGTGTGTGTGTGTGTGTGTGTATGTGTCTGATGTGGCCCTACCTCAATGTCGGTTAGAAGCTCCAAAAACTTCAGGTCTCGGACGCGCACATATGCCTGCACAGATAGACAGAAAGACAGTTAGACAGATAGAGCAAAAGACACACACACACACACACACTCTTGCGAACAGTTTGCAAGTGAATAATTCATTGAGTGGTTTTGGCCCTGACCCCCCCCCCCCCCCCCCCCAACAGACACACCCCTCTCCTCTACACAAGAGTCTAGTTGAAGGGATCCACCAGAAACTTCAAAGTCATGATGATGTCTACTGAAGCATCAACTGCCATTTGTTCAGATTTCCAGATGGTTCCAAACAAAAAGAAACAGTGAAATTCACATGAACATGACACCCGATGATAATCCCCTGCCTTTGCCTTTGCCTACTAGTACCTTTCTTGCTGTTGTGAAGTCCAGACCCTGTACACAAGCAACCAAAAAAGAATGTAAACTAATACTATTGGTGACCAGTAAACAAATCATTTCTTTTGCAGCTACAGTCAGACCTCGCTTAACCACACACATCCGTTTTCCACAAAAATACCCGGATAGGCGAGGGAACCGGATAACCGAACACCGGTTATGTTGGATGCACCACGTATGCTGTAAATCTGCAATCAGGTATTTTCTTCCGGATGGTGAGGGATCGGGATAAAAAGAGGACCGGATTAGGGAGGTCTGACTGTACTGATTTCCCTACACAGTGTACAGTCTATAGTACATACTCATAAAACACTGTACAGTGGATTGCTGCATACAATTACTCGTAACGACCTTTTTAAGAGTTCTGTAGAGCAATTCATCACACAATTTATCATAAGAGAATCTGTAGCAAAATACCACTGGGACTAGCGACCAGCCTGGTACTACAGACCACTTTGCCAGGCACGGACGGTCTCACATTCATGTACGGTTGTGCGGTGCAAATCTCAAACTAAGGACCACCTGCCACAAAAGACCGCTTTCTCTGCCTGGCACCAAGGGGTGGTGGTGAATCACCGGTTTTACTGTACTGCAGCCAGTGCAAGTACAAAAGTCTCTTAGAATAGAGAACAGCTTCAGTGACATGATAGTGGCATCACTGGCAATGGTAGTAGTGGCATAGCAACAACAGTACCCCTCGCTGAAACAGATCAGGCGCATAGTACCTAATAGTCAAGGTAAGCATAACAGAGTCACACCGTAATGCCGCGTATTAATAAATTAATAAATTTCACGGTTCGCGTGAGACTCGGCTGGAAGCCCAGTTTTCCGCATCAGTCGTGGGAACGCCACCACCCTCTAGGATCAAAGGCGCAGATGCAGCGCCTAAACGGTGGGAGGTGAGTAGATCAGACCCACCACAAAGTGGTCAAAGACCGAAATCCCATTAGCTGCATCCATGTCGCGTATTAAGGCCGGGTTTATTCCTGCAGAAGCCGATGTATGGGTTAGGCTTCTATTCACATCAGGCTTCTATTCAAACCAGGTATTTCTATGTGTGTGAACACTAAAACAAGGCTTATGTGCCGACAGGGTATCTTGAACATCGGGCTTGTATTCAAAACAGGCTTCTATTCGAGATAGGCTTGTATTCAAAACACTACGATACGTACCTCCAGCGCTTCGCCAGCCAGAGCTCTCCAGTCGTTGGTTGTCACACCAAGGCAGGCCACACCGTACGCTTCCCTGTGAATGAATCAAATCACACAACAATCTCCAGTCATCACTACCTTCACACGTGACTTGTCCAGCAGACATACTGGGACTTCCTGGTGTGCGCAAATACAAATAATTTTAGTTGTTAGCACACGCAACGCAGAAGCCACTGGGATATCCGATGACGCCTTTCAAACCATTATTTTTCAAAATCGGTACATTGGCGGTATCATCAAATAGGCCAACAAGGGCCAACTAGTGCTAATACATGTCTATTTGGTAAGGGGGTCGATATGTACAGTAGATAATGATGGAGTTGTGCGAGTCATACCATTGATATGGTTCCACAACACACAACTTACTTACTTGTACATTTTCTTCTCCAGAAACTGATACAGAGAGGCTGACTGCACACACACACAGGAAATGAAAACAACAACAACAATATCGACAATGATGACAACGACGTGGCAACAACGACAACAGCAGCAGAAGCATGCACACCCCCCCCCCCCCCTCCCCACACACACACGCACACGCACGCACACACACACACACACACACACACACACACACACGCACACACACACACACACACTTGTACTAAGTCTTGTACTTGTACTTGTTGCTCACTGCCAAAACTGGTCACGTGGGTCTCCCCGGGAGAGGGGAGAGAGACTCAAAAGGAATCTTGGAAAGATGACTCAATTGGCCATTGAACCACCCAGCGGCCGACACCCCCTGAAATCCCCAAACTAGGGTGGACTTGAAATGATCCCACTAATGGCTCACCACACCTCAGTAAGTGGGTGAGGACAAGGTGCAGAAAAAGGATTGACGGCATCAGGGTATCCGTCCCGGGATCCAACTGCAGGTACCCCTGCCCCCAGTGAAGGTAATACTTGGTACTAGTGTGGGTGGCTAAATCAGAGTGGATCTAATATAAGCTTCACTAGCACCATTGATTACACAAGAGTTATTGATAGCTTGCATAGACCTCGGTCCTACCGGTAGGACCTACCGGTAGGACCATCATACACAGACATGCTGTATGGCCTCTGTTCTAACATTGACCTAAAACTTGACCATAAACTGTTGCTCAGGGGCTAATAAAGGAGTCCACAAATTTTAGACGTGATCGCACAAGGCATACTACAAAATCTATGGTAACAGTCCATGGTAACCATGGAAACGGTGTATGGAATTATGCATTCCACTGCCTTGGCAGACTAATAAAAACAATAGGACCTCACCACGATTGATAAGCCATGGTCAAAATCCACTTTGGACAGAGTTGCTAGCGCTCCGACAGGAGTATGTGCGGCCATTTTGACAATTGATAAAATTGCGCTTATGCAATGCACTGGACATAGCCTTGCATTTTGCGCCATTACTTTGCCTGACAAAGACCTCATCTCAACAATTGTTTCAAGAAATTTCTCAACCAACAGCACTTTTGCAGCGCGATTTCTTGGGTCCTACCGGTAGGACGGCATGCAAGCTATCATTAATCTAGCCAGAAGTAGTCCATGGTTAACAGGTATGTATACTTCAAATAGAAAGCATATGAACCCTGAAACCAACAAAGGTGGTAGGTACAACAATACACCTTCAAGCAGCCGAGCCCACTGGCAACAGGCCCAACACTATCTGGCATAAGTGTACCCACCAACCAAACTAGCTGGCGCACACACACACACACAATGACAATAGCAGCGGAATTGAGCTCCATACCCCCCCCCCCCCCCCCCCACCTTACTTGCTCACAACCCCCTAAACTAGCCAAAAAACGCCTGAACTTGTTGACAAACCCCCGAACTAACTCGCAAACCCCTGCACAAGCTCACAAACCGCTGTACTTTTTTCACTCTGTGACATCATACCTGTGGCACATCAACAGAACTGATTGATGCTCCCTGTAAGCAGAACACCTTGGAGCCACTGAACCCAACCACGTAGCCCTGCACAGCATGCACATCAGGGAGTACACACAACGGAGCATACACATCAGAGCATACACATCAGAGCATACACATCAGAGCATATACATCAGAGCATCGGACAGCATACACATCAGAGCATCGGACAGCATACACATCAGAGCATCGGACAGCATACACATCAGAGCATATACATCGGACAGCATACACATCAGAGCATATACATCAGAGCATATACATCAGAGCATATACATCAGAGCATATACATCGGACAGCATACACATCAGAGCATATACATCGGACAGCATACACATCAGAGAGCACACACAATAATTATCGTGAGATCGGCATTCAAAGTATCAACAAAAGAACAGAACACCTAGAATACGCATCTTCTCTCCAGCAAAGACAAGATGGCCATTAACAATCAGCATTGAAAGAATTGTGAACGTCCAATGTAGCTGCAGTCAGTGCACACACTTCTTCAGCCATGGGTAAGTATTTGGAAGAGTCTAGTGCCAATTTGATACTCATTGGTTTGAGGGAAAGATGCAAATGGGAAAATCTGAAGAAATAATCGACTGTCACCACCAGGACTCGAACCAGGGACCTTCGCTTGAGGCCAGCGATGCTCTAACCACTGAGCTAGGATTTCTCACGCAAACCTTACCTGCAGCTTCTGTTGATGTGGTGGGAAGTTGGCCGTTTTGATGAGCAACACCCCATTGCCAGAGTAGCAAAGCATATCCTGACGGAGAGTGCAAGCAAGCGACACAGAGCCGGATAAGGAGAGTAAGCAGAGGTACAAGAGGAATATTATACACATTCAGTTGTAGGAGAAAGTGACTGTCACAGGCAGACAGAATTATTCTCGCTCCGCACATACTGGCACACACAGAAACATACACGGCAATAGCGACAACACACAAAGTGCAACATCTCAATTAGAATTGATGTTTCTGCCTTCAAGTGGAATGGCCCTGTCACTCCCGTCTTGAATGGTAGGTTTTGAAGGGATCAAGTGATGGCTTGTCGTCGCTATGGTCACCAAATATCTGGCGTTTGGCACAACTAGTAAAGGTATCTGATCAACGTCCTAGGACAGTGCATAGAGCACGTTTCTTTCATATTAAAGATCTGAACAAATACACCTCCTTAATTAATGGTGCGCAGCCACCGAGACTCTACGGTCGGTGTTGGAAATCTGCTTAACCAGCACTGGCGTATGCAGCCCATACTCTCTCCACGTGTACTACTTGTACTGCTCTACCCGGGAAGTGGGCATGTGTCCACAGAAAGAAAAAAAAACTCAAAATAACATCAGTGCGATTTCCCAGATTGCTAGAGGGCTCAACACCACAAGGATGGAGCAACACAACAAAGGTCCTTCATTGCGAGAGTTTATGAGAGTTGGAAGAAGAGTTGGATAGTCAGCATAGAGTACATGGTAGGTGAAGTAAGTGAAAGCTTGATAGATAAGACACAATAAGATATACTCATACTTCGTTCTGGGTATTCCATGACACACTGGCGGCACCCGGCTCCTACAAACAGCGAAAGAAGAAACCTGTGTATCAGTAATTGCTGCACAAAGAGAGATCAGTAACCTTATCCTCCCCTCACCAATCACCGACAAAGGCAGACATTCTACTATCCCCATTACCCCCCATTACCCGGCAGTGTGATCATACCTGGAAGAGCAGCTTGTTGTCTGAGAGATTGTAGACTTGCAGGAGATTGCTTTCATCCACCACAGCTACCTTGGTGTGGCTAGAACAGGGGAGAATAATTACCACAATTGCAAATACACACACACACGCACACACGCACACACGCACACACGCACACACGCACACACGCACACACGCACACACGCACACACGCACACACACACACACACACACACACACACACACACACACACACACACAGATATATTCAATTAATGGAACAACTTGCATATCCTCTCCAACAATTTAAAACGTCCCGACAACAATTTATCGAACCAGGTGGGCTGAAGCGTACGCTCCCTAACAGTTTTTCCCAAACCGACATTCGGGGAAGGCAACATTTCTTGGCTGTATGATGCGGAGGGAGGAGGGTACATGATCGACAAGCCATATACTGAAAAGGGATATTGGCTGATAACAGTGCAAGTCACAATAGTAGTAGCACCTTACACTGTGTACATGCACATACACTAGTCTGATCGACAGCAGGTAATGAACCCAGCGCCTAGCACCATAGATAACACACACACACGTACTTAGCATTGATATCCAGACATCGGATTGCATACAACACACATACTTAGCATTGATGTCCATACATCGGATGGCATACAACACACACATACTTAGCATTGATATCCAGACATCGGATTGCATTCTTCATCTTCATGACACTGATCACAAACGGATTGTCCAGGTAAATCTTGACCACTTCGCCGCTTCTCAGCCCACAGAGTAGCCCTTCAGCTCCAGCAGGGCCACCGATGACCTTGATGTAGCGGATGAACGAGTCCACGGCCCACTCCCTGATGGCATTAAAATCAAAAACAAGACAATCCACAGCGGAGTCATAGTTTAACCAAGCCATGTGATCAGTGGATAACTGCAGTTACGTAGATGACACAGTAAACACACAGTGACATGTGATATAAAGATGATACAGTTCAACAGTCAGCCAAGTGTAGCGCATGTGGATTGCCCCGTTGTCATTGAGCTCTCTCACCACACTGGCTGTGTAGAAGCTGACATGCAGACACTAGACATAACTGTTACAAGCAGGGGAAGAATGTAAAATAACTGTCCGTCTTGGCCAAATAATGCAACTCCTATGCATGTAGTCTCTGTATCATGAAGTTAAGAAAGACCAGGGGATGAAGGAAGAGGTGATCTTGACAAGGCTTAACTAGACCAAAAGCAACGGACATGACTAACACCCCATCTCATCGCCAGCCAACATCCTAAAACTAAGGAAGCTGCTGTGTTTGGATGTCACAAGACTGGCACTGTGTGAGTGGTGCGCTCTCACCTGACTTTCTGGCCCTTGCTGATGTCATAACTCTGAAGCCGTCTCTCCTGGATACAGCAAACAGAACAATACATGTACATGAACAAATGGAACACCATTGTTACTAAGATAATACAGATACTGACAGTGAACGGTTAGTACAGAATAACGGCTGTCATTGCAGTTGGAAGAGTTTGTTCAAGCGACACCAGCCTGCCCAGGCTCCATACAATAATAGATGAAACCTTATAAACATGTGGTGTGGTGAGCAGGGAGTTTCCATTGTCTAGGGGTAGTCTTGAAGGTTCATCAGGCGTCCCTGATTGGCCTGGGCCATGGGGCCGTTCAAGTAAAGATTTTAAAATAATTCGCGGTTCGCGTGAGACTCAGCTGGTGATCAAGTTTTCCGCATGCGGAGCCGGGAATGCCACCACCCTTTAACGATCACAATTAAGATAAATTGGGAAGGTGCGGGCGCAAGAGTCGAACAGTCCAACGTCCTACAGGTTTCACGGTCCGCTCATCTTACAGTCAGCTTTCTCACATCTCACCTAATGACCTACATAACCTATCTGCTGTGAACATGTGAAACAGAGAGGTTCCAGGCTGTCCAAGAGAGTGCTCAATACCGAGAGGCAGAGCTAGTTCAAACAATAAGAGGACGGGAAAACTGTTTTAACTCTGAGTTTCACGCACTAAGCGATCATCAGAAAACACTATGAACATACCATGCAGTTGACGTACGATGCATAAAGCAACATAGACATGTACTACAGGGTTTTAAGTAGCAACGTAGCAATATGGGACATGGTTAGCATCTTACCGTTCAAGCTAACTGCGACCGTCGGCCTGTACCGCTTTTTGTGTGTTTCAAGGCATGGTTAGCATTTCGGTTTCTGACACAACCATCGACTTGGAACGTAACCCTAGTTGGAATCTTACTGGTTCATTCTCCCGCTAAACTGAGCCTTCTATTGTCGAAACGATACCAAACCGACGGTATTTCGGGTCTGGGTACTAGTACCATTGGATTTAGCGTGAACGGTAAAATGCTAACCATGTCTATGGCTGTGAGGCTTACAAAGAAACATGATTGCATGGCTTACGTAGCAGAGGATAATGTGCTCAGCACAGACCACCAGCAAGTTACAATCAGACTGCAGATTCACACGGTCCTGGCACAACAAACATAAGAAACGCCGCGCAACAACAACAACAACAACAACAACAACAACAACAACAACAACAACAACAACAACAACAACAACAACAACAACAACAACAACAACAACAACAACAACAACAACAACAACAACAACAACAACAACAACAACAACAACAGCAGCAGCAGCAGCAGCAGCAACAACAACAACAATGTTAATCCCTGCCACATAACCAGAGGGGGAAATGAATCCACATCAAATGCAAGAAACACGGCCATATACAACCTGCTCACAATCATGCAAAATACAACTCAGCAGGAGTCCATTCTGACCATTGGTCGACTACCAGTCTAACCAAAGAACAGTTATCGAGAAAATAGCTGCATAGTGAAAAGATTTACAATATGTCAGAACATTCTACTCACCCTGCAGCCAGTACTTTTTGCCCATTGTGGTCTCCCGAGTGCGGTGCAAAAGAGAGATTAGAGTGACCTTGTTAGGGGTATAGCCTGCTGTTTATTGCTCGTGCGCAAACTCGGGGTAGAGTCGGTTAAAACAAAGATAGGTCGGCTTAAACTCAACGTAGTGGTGTTGCAATGTTTGTCTGGAAATTGAAACACAAATCTAATAGCCAGTATACCTTCAGCTTGTACTGGATCTCGTTCATGTCACCTTTCAGCTCATAGACTAGAATAGAGGAGGGCAGTTGAATCTGGAGACAGGACACACAGCAATGAACACAATGCAGCAAGCTTGGGGCAACAACTTGTAGTATGTACACCCAATGGTCAATGGCCGTCATGCCATATCCGTGGTCAAGAGAGAGTTGCAGGGACCCTATAAAGACAATTGGAAGCCAATAACACTACCTATCAGCTAGGGCTGTCCGCTATTAGCTAGGGTGCGGAATGATGTACAATGATTGGCGGGGGGGGGGGGGGGGGGGGCTACCACCCAGGGAATCACACAGTTGTAGCCAGCAGCCTAAATCAATTTTATTACCGTACTGGCAATATATGTTGCCGCGTAACGCGTAACGCAGGGGGGTGCGGCGTAACGCGCGACCAGGCTAGTGCGACAAATTTTCGTTGAGTTCGTAACGCGCGTCCGGCGGGGTGCGGCGATCTTTTCATTGCAGTTTGCACTCCAAAAAAAAGGCTGAAAACTGTGAAAGCACGTGTACCGCGTGGTGAAAAGTCTCCAGCAGCAGTGATGGCTCGAGCAGCGATGACGACTCCAGCAGCAGTGATGACTAATGATAGCCACGGTGACTTTGTAATATGTTGTACACTCATTAACTGTGTGAGTGACAGTAGTTTTTGGAGGAAGCGCTCTTCCCCTATGTCACTTTCCTTTTGATGATCTTTTTGTGAACAGATCACTCTGATAGTTCCCCTATGTCACTTTCCTTTTGATGATCTTTTTGTGAACAGATCACTCTGATAGTTAAAATATACAGTCTTCTATTGATATCGTTGTCGCCCTTTGCCGTCGGGTTTGTAACAGTTGGATAGCAACTGAATTTCTGTGCCTTCAATGTGGATGAAAAGAAAAAATGATGCGGCAAAAGCAAAAAAATGATGCGGCAATAGCCAAAAAGTGATGCGGCAATAGCAAAAAAAGGACTGCGGCAATATAGAAACCTGTGTAACGGCTCCTGTGCGACTTTGCATGTAACGCCCTGCGTGCGGCAAACATGTGCCAATGTAACGCTTCATGGCCTCACTGCGGCAACATATATTGCCAGTACGGTAACAGATGCAGGTGCACTTCAATGAGACCTCAAATCATCAGATTTCCATCTCCATTGCAAGGAGTTTCACTGACCGCTAGTCTGTTCCGATACACTGACAGCCGCTTGACAAGTTCCTTGCATCTGATACGTGCTACAAGAAGCACATAGCAAACCCACAATACAAATATCCATGGGGAAGAGTTTCAGCAAGGGAAAGTTCCAAATAAAACACAGATCAGGAACGAATAGGCACATATTTGCTCAATAGTCAATGTCAGAAGTATCACTGGTCACAACCTCTATTGATTGCAGTGAGGGCACAATGCATGTATGTCTCAAGACAGTCTCAACCTACTCTTCTGGTCGGTTGGAAGGTGCTGAACAATGACATCCGTCATGGATTCACGATGTGCATACCTATAGCGGATGGATGTGAACACACACGCACGCAAACACACGAGCGCGCACACAAGCACACATGCACCCTCCCACCCCCACACCCACACGCATACACACATACAAATGCAGAAAACACACATGTGTGCACATAGCCACGCATATTTTCATACATGATTGCACACATACGAGTACTATTGGTAGCGACTTCGGCGATAATAGAGAAACTGTTTTTTGCTCTGTACATGGGCGTTCACTATTTCCCTGCTGCCCATTTTCCTTCTGACTTGGCTTGACTGACTCATAATTACCATCCTGAGTGGACGAGAAGTCTATTGGACCTTCCACATGGCTAACCTTCAAGAAAGCACCACTCACTGCTCAATACACAGTGTTTTGGGGGATTATCCACGTATCGGTTGAGCTCGAGGAGCTAGTGAAATCGGTACTGAAGGAGCAGCACAATATACAGGACTTCAGTAGCCGACACAGCACTCAGGACGCCAACTTGAACATGTCACCCCATGCCCAGCGCGATTGACACTTCTCCAATCAGTCCAGACAGCAGCAACAGCAGCAAGGGTCAGTGTGACCAATACGGCTGCAAACCATCAGTGTCGAATCATGTCAGCAGGAAAAGCGGGACCTTCGACGCAGTGAGCAACACAGCTGCATCGATCATCGCCAAAGTCGCTACTACTATCGCACTGTTGTCTGCAGTGTGAGGTCACAACTAGCTGGTTCAAAGGCAAGATTGTTCTGAGGGGCCAACAGTCCTCAGAGCTTGTTTTTCACCTCCATGGGTGAATGCATATTGCTACATAAGGCAAAACTGACACATTTTCACACTCAGTTCTACATACAAGTGCAGCATACACTAGGGAACGGAGGTGCTAAGGGTGCTAACGGTGCTAACAGAGGTGCTAAAGCAAGCGTGCATTGCTAACTCAACTTGAATTATTCAAAGCCCCACATTGCAGTGAATAATAGCAAGAAGGTACAAGAGAAGAGCTAGAGAGAAAAAGGGAAACCAAGGAGGAGGCCAGGGTAGAAAAGGAAAAGTCTCTTTTAAGTGAAAAAAGATTAGAACAGCGTGTATTGCTGGGACAGGGAATGTTGCACTACAAATTGTGTGTAAACCCCAGACAGCAACTATCAGAGGCACTATGAGAAACATTTTTTGGCCACACATACATACTTTACCAAGTTCAAAATAATTTTCGGAGAGGATGATGCGGAAGTACTGGCCCTGGTGAAATGCCATAGTCTTGCAAACAGACATGTATAGACGAGGCAGCAATCCCAGAAGCCCCTGAGGCAATTGCTGCACCGCCCGCCTGTTATCCGCAGTCCCTGCCAACTGCCCGCTCATATCCTGATTTGTTTTCTTTTGCAAGGAGTAACTTAATAACAACAGCACCAAAAGTATTTATTGCCTTACCTGTCTTTGTACAGGCTGTGCACTGTAGCAAACTGGAGACCGAATAATGAGATTGAGCCATCCTGACATCCGACAGCCTAAAACATACGACAAAGCGGAGAAATTGGGTAGATGCAACAGTAGTCAACTCTCTCTCTCCCACACTCTCTCTTCCACACGCTCTCTCCCACACACTCTCTCACACTCAATGTCTCTTGTGAGCGTACACGCACACACACACACACACACACACACACACACACACACACACACACACACACACACACACACACACACACACACACACATACACACACACACAAACATACACACACACACACACACACACACACACATTCACACAAGTACACACACTCCTCCCCCCCCCCCCACACACACACAATCCCTCTTCCATGCTCATACTTTCTCTCACATGCAGCCCAAAGGATTCAGAACACACCCAGTATCATTGACATAGACACCTAATTTGGCAAAGAGTCGTAGAAAGCATGGCTTTCCCTTGCTTAGTATATACATTCTTATTTTCCTGTGTGCAAATTCCATAACCAGTTCCCGGCTTACCAGATTGTGTGTGCCTGGTTGCTGTTTACAGCACCACACCCAGGCTGGTTGCTCCGTGATCGTAGTCAGCATTGTGCCATCCTTGGCATGGACTGATGCCTGCATAGCGAACAACACACAGTAGCACACACACATGCACATAAAAACACACACACACACATAAGAACACACACACAAACATATGTACACACACACACACACACACACACACACACACACACACACATACAAACACACACATACACATACACATACACATACACATACACACACACACACACACACACACACACACACACACACACACACACACACACACACACACACACACACATAGACACACACACATAGTACATCAGGGTTCTAGCCAGGAACAATTGTAGGGGGGAGGGATGGGTGGTGGGCTGGGGGAAGGCTGGGGAAACTAATAGTTGACCCATCTATTTCCCTATTCCACTACAGTCAGACTTCGCATAACAGCACACTTCCGTTTTCCACAAAAAAATATCCGGATAGGCGAGACCGGATAATCAAACACACACGCACACACTATATGTGTGGATGGCATATGCTGTAAATCGGTAACCAGCGATTTTCTTCCGG